TTTATTTATTTATTTTTTTTATAATTAATTAATTATTTTTAAAATGTTTATTCATTTTTTGAGAGAGAGAGAGAGAGACACGGAGCGAGCACGAGTGGGGGAGGGGCACAGAGAGAGGGAGACACAGACTCTGAAGCAGCTCCAGGCTCTGAGGTGTCAGCACAGAGCCCGGTGAGGGGCTCCAACTCATGAACCGTGAGATCATGACCTGAGCTGAAGTTGGAAGCTTAACCAACTGAGGCACCTAGGCACTCCCCCCACCTCTGTATTTTAAAATGAGACACAGGATGAAAGGTACCCAGAGGATGATGGTAACCAGGGCGGAGAGGGGACCCAAAATTAAGCCATAAAGTAGGGTTTTCACTGTGGAGAAGAGAATACTTAGCAGAATGGTGAAAAAGGTTTTTGATATCTTAATGACTCTCTGTGGGAAGAGCAATGAACTTGTTCTGCGTGTCTTGTAATAAGGACCGGGGCAGAAGTTTCAGGGAATGAAAATTCAATGTCTGAGGACTGAACGGTCCCCTTTGAGAGTGAGCTCCCTGTCCCTGGAAGCATGTAAGTACACACTGGGTAGAAACATGCTCAGCAGGGATATTGTAGAGGAGACATACAATGAAGTAGTTACACTGATGCACGTAACTCCCTACCCTTGGAGATCCTGTGCTTTATCTTCACAGATTTCTCTGTATAGAAAGAATGAATTATTTGCCCCTATCCAATGATCCCGCTCCTTCTGTAAGTTTTATAAGGAGTGGGACTCATATCTGTCTTATCTGCAGATACAGCTGCAGGGACTGTAGATTCTCAATAAATACTCATTGAGTGAATGAATAAAACGAAAGACACGCGATATTCTGTTGTAGGCCAGTTGAATCCCTTAAGCTGGGCTCAGAGATTTGGACAAGTGGTACAATCTAGACTCTGATTCAACAGCTACAATTCCAGAGAGAGTGTCTATCAGAGAGTCACTAGACTGGGGTTTGTTTAAGTGGGGTTTGGGGACCAGCTGTCCAGAATCCCGGTAAGATGCCCCCACAAAGTCCCTGAAGTCAACTCCTGGAGGCGGGGCCTGAGAATGTGTGATGTTAACAAGCTCCCCGGATAACTTATGACTCCAAATTGAAAAACCACAGGGCTGGATACCAGTTAATACTCCAAATTTGTTCCTTTGGAATGTGATGGGATAAAGAAAACCAATTTTATAAGACGTAAGAACGCTTTAACTTCTTGAAAGAAGTCAACACTTTTTGCTTGTTAGACTCCTGGTTTCATGAGTCATACCCTCGTCCTCTGAGACCATCACTGACAGTTCCAGGTCCTGCAGTTAAAACCTCCTGTAAACGTTATGGAAGTGAAGGGTTAGCTATTCTGTGTAAGCTGATTCAGAGGCTGAGATCTGAATCTCCAAAGCTGTCCCTCAGCTGGGTGGTAAGCCTCTTCTTTTTTTTTTTTTTTTTTTGGATCATTGGAAATTTTAATGCCAGATCAGTCCTGGTGCCACAGTCTTGCAGACCGCCCGGCCAGCGTTACAAACATAGCAGTGACCGAAACCGGCCCACCCAAAGGTTCTATCTGGTCAGCACGGTGTTTTTACATGAATGCTTTTAGACCCTGCAGGTGGCCAGTGACCCCTCCCTGCTGTCTGCCTCTCAGCCCTTCTTGTTCATTTAAGCAGGCATTTAGGTTTTTAAACCCGGCTCCCGGCCAGGGTGTTCTCTTACAGCAGGCTTCTTCTCCGGATTTCTCTCGACCACAGCAGGGTGAGGCTTCTCTGCTTTGTGGCAGCACTAGCCTTGGTAACCTAGGCTTGCTAGGATCTTGGATTGGCCCTTTGGCTCCTTGAAAATCCCTGCCTGGGCAAACAAATGTGCTGTGTCCACACACTGGGATATCATTCAGCCATAAAAAGGAATGGAGCACTGATACATGTTATAACATGGATGAATCTAGAAAACATTATGCTAATGCTAAGTGAAAGAAACCAGACACAAAAGCCCACATTTTGCAGGATTCCGTCTCTATGAAATTTCCCCAATAGGTAAATCTATACAGGCAAATGGCAGATTAGTAGTTGCTAGGGTCTAGGGGAAGGCAGTGGGAAGTGTCTAATGGGACACGCCAGCATATTCATGGAAGCAAACATCGTCTTCAGACAATCCTGCGCACTGGTAAATTTTCGCCGCATATCAGGCAATCC